GGTGCAGAGATGGAGCTGGGTTGGGTGCAGAGATAGAGCAGAGGTGGAGCTGAGGGGGTGCAGAGATGGGGCTGGGGTGGGTGCAGATATGGAGCTGGAGGGCTGAGGGCTGGTTTTGGTGTCTGTCTGGACACAGCTCTGCCGGGAGGCACAGACAGCAGCTGCAGCAGCTCCTCGTATCAAGAAGTTTGCCATCTACAGATGGGATCCTGACAAGCCTGGGGACAAGCCCCGCATGCAGACCTACGAGGTGGATCTGAATAAGTGAGTGTCTGCCACCAGGGAGAAGCTTTGTTGCCACAGGACTGGGGCTGTGTGTGTGGGGCTGGCTTATCTGACAAGTCATGGAATTGTGGAATGGGTTGGGTACGAAAGGAACTTAAAGACCATCTAGATCCAACCTTCTGCATGGGCAGGGACACCTCCCACCAGCCCAGGCTGCTCCAAGCCCCATCCAACCTGCCCTTCAACACTGCCAGGGATGGGGCAGCCACAGCTTCCCTGGGCAACCTGGGCCAGGCTCTCACCACCTTCACATTTCCTCCTAATGTCCAAACTGAATCTCCCATCTTCTAGTTTAAAGCCATCCCCCTTCACTCTTTCACTCCCTGCCCTTGTCCAAAGTCCCTCCCCTGCTTTCATGGAGCCCCTTCAGGAGCTCCAGTTCCCTCAGCATCTCAGTGCTCTGTGCTGGAGTCTCTCCAGCAGTTCCTTGTCCATCTTGAACTAGGGAGCTCAGAATTGGACCCAGTTCTCCAGATAGGGCCTCACCAGGGCAGAACACAGCGGGGTGATAATGTAGGGAAGAGGTTGAGGAGCACTTGAGCTGGCAGTGAAGGGTGTCAGCAGCCTCATTAAGCTTCAGGGACTGTTAAAACCTTGTTGGAGTGGCTAGGGAGGTGGAGCCTCAGCCAGAGCACCTTGACTGAGCACAGCTGGGATCCATGTTATTTCCTGATAAAGCAAATCTTGGACTGGTCACGTGGGATTGTTGTCCTCTCCTTCACCTGGCTGTGCCAAGTGTGACAAATAAAACTGTCCCTGTGAGCAGTGAAACAGTCACTTCCTTTTGTGACCTTTGTGAGATTTTACCTGTGTCCCTGAGTTGTGTTGGAGACTTGCAGGGTTTCATGGCTTTGATAAACTTCATTTACATGGAAAACTTTGGGCAACTTTCCGAAAGCAAACTTACTTCATGTGCAGCTCCAGACCCTGAGGAGAAGGTGAAAGCTTTGTTGGCGCTTCCCATGGTTTTCTTAACAGTTACTTCTAGTTTTTAAGTCATATTAAACTAGTAGAAACCTGCACATTTTGGTGTAGCTGTCACCAAGAAAGTTGTGTCTTCTCTGTGGTACATTTTGGGGGGTACATTTCCACTAGGAGGGTGGTGAGAGCCTGGCCCAGGTTGCCCAAGGAAGCTGTGGCTGCCCCATCCCTGGCAGTGTTGAAGGGCAGGTTGGATGGGGCTTGGAGCAGCCTGGGCTGGTGGGAGGTGTCCCTGCCCATGCAGGGGGTTGGATCTAGATGATCTTTAAGGTCCCTTCACACCCAAACCAGTCTGGGATTCTGTGATCCTGGGGTGCAGAAACCTTCAAGTGTGCCTTGATTTCCAAGAGCTCCAGTTGCTCCTGTGCTCTTCCCAGAGGAATTCCCCTGGAGACCTCTCAGCTTTGGATACAAACCATGCTGCTTCATGAGCCTATGATGGAGAACTCACATTTTCCTGTGATTTGCACCAGTTAATAATTTCTGGGTGTTGCCAGGTCTGCTGTGGAGAAAATTACTTAAGTTGTCCAGGACTGTTTGTTTTTATGTTCAGAGCTGCTTCTGGTGACTAATGAGGACAAGCAGACTTGTCAAAACCTGACCCAAAAGGGGAGAACCAGTAGCAAGACTCAGTTTTCAGAATATTCTTAATTGTAGTCAATCAAAACCATTTAAGATGCTGCTCAGTTGGGCTGCCAGAGATTAAACACTGAGGCTGGCAGGGAATTCCACAGGTTCAGTGACCGTTTGCTTTTGCAGGTGTGGGCCTATGGTGCTTGATGCTCTGATCAAGATTAAAAATGAGTTGGACTCTACTCTGACTTTCCGCAGGTCCTGTCGGGAAGGTAAGAAGGATTTTCCAGCCTGTCGATTTGAAAATTTTCCTTGGAGGTTGTTTGTTCCTGATGGTGTAGGTGTAATTACTTGAAAAGATCAGGGTGGATGGCACAGTAGCACTGTCCCCTTCCTGCTTCTGCATCTGAAACGCCTCAGATGAACACTGTGTCCACTTCTGGAGCACCCAATATAAGGACATGGAGCTCCTGGAGAGAGTCCAGAGGAGACCAGAGATGATCCAAGGGCTGGAGCAGCTCTGCTCTGAAGACAGGCTGGGAGAGTTGGGGTGTTCAGCCTGGAGAAGAGAAGGCTCCAGGGAGATGTCAGAGCACCTTCCAGTGCCTGAAGGGGCTCCAGGAAAGCTGGGGAGGGGCTTGGGACAAGGGCAGGGAGGGATGGGATGAGGGGGATGGATGAAAACTGGAAGAGGGAGATTGAGGTTGGACATGAGGAGGAAATTCTTTGGTGTGAGGGTGGTGAGAGCCTGGCCCAGGTTGCCCAGGGAAGCTGTGGCTGCCCCATCCCTGGCAGTGTTGAAGGGCAGGTTGGATGGGGCTTGGAGCGACCTGGTGTGGTGGGAGGTGTCCCTGCCCATGCAGGGGGTTGGATCTAGATGATCTTTAAGGTCCCTCCAACCCAAAGCATTCTATGGTTCTGTGAACCACGTAGTGAAGGTAAAGCCTGTTCTGAGCTTTAATCACAGCACCCTGAGCTATGAGCAATCCAGAACAGCCCCAGTCCTTCCTGTTCCTCTCCTAATCTTGTCCATCTTGTTGCCCTCCAGTGATGGCAGGGAAATCCAGGGAGAGATTGCAACAGTGAAACTGAGGGGGAAGACCTGGCAAATGGGAATGAGTTGTAGGGGCTGCTTTATCTAGTGCTGCTGTGGAAATAAGGGTGTAACTGGAAGAGTCCTTATGACTTCTAGGAATAGCTTCAGGAATCTTTTTTTGGCCTTTTGACTAAGCTAAATGGATCGATGGAAGAAAAGCCTGGCTGGTGGTTTTGCATGCAGAGCTACCTGCTGCTTCTCCTTCAGGTGCAACTCAGCACGTCTCTTTAACTTCATTAAAACTTGCCTGTCCAGCTGACTTGCCCTTTAAAAATATTCCTAATTCATGGATAATGTTGGGCTGCTGAGTTTAACTTGCATGTTGTGGAAAAGCAGGAAGAGAGGATGCCTTTATGGTCTGAGTTATGATTTAATTAGGTCTGTGAGTGTGAGAAATGTGGGTGCAAGTGATGCCTAAAGATGTTTCTCCTTGGATTTAAATAAAAAGCACGTTGCAACCCAGCTGCTTCCTGCAGGATCTGCATAGCAGGCAGAGGAATTCCACACGGTGTCCTTGTTCCCACTGTGATATTTAGCTAGCTGAGGCTGTTCCTAAGCACCTGGAATTAATTGCCCTGAATACTTTTCTTTGAGAACCTGGGGACAGATTTTTTTCAAGCTGAGCTGGTTCAATCTTGCCCCTTTTTTTTGACCATCCAGGGTAAAAAAATTCCTGTTGCAGACTCCGTGGGCTCCTGCCTGCAATCCTGGTCCCGTCTGCAGTTGACTGGAAAATACTTGTAACCATTTCTCGAGTGGGAGGAATAACCTTGTTCAAGTGCCAGGCTTTTTAGCTGGCTGCCAGGGAGGGGTGAGGAGCACTGGCATTTCTCTGCCTCATATCAATTGATATGTGTCAAATCCTCTGAAATTAAAGTTTTGCCCTTGTAACATTTGTCGTCTTTCTAATGGGATGTTTCAGGCATCAGCCTGAACTGGATACCCAAGCTCCTGACCCTGAGCAGTATCCCTGACACTTCTGCAGTGTTTTTTTTTCTTGTAAACCTTGGCCTCTCCTGGGTTACATCTGATCCCTCCATTACTGGGAGATCTTTAGGAGTGTCATTTAATCTATTGTTAAGCTATTTTTGTGCCGTTTGTTCTGGTCAGTGTCTGTTCTCTCAACTTTAGGGACTTAATGGATGCAGTTTATGGCACCACTGGAGCCTGCTGCAAAAGAGACAGAGAGGAGCTTCTTTTTTTGGGACTTTATTTAATGTCTCTGACCTCTGGGATGTTTTTGACCATAACTCTGAGACTGGTGGGGAATGCACGTGGCTCCTGTGTTACAATCCCATCAGCAGCAGCTTCACATCAATACCAACTGGTGCTTCAACCTTGAAGCTACATCAAAAGCTGCGTGACCAGCAGGTCAAGGGAGGGGATTATCCCTCTGCTCTCATGAGGCCACATCTGGAGCACTGTGCCCAGTTCTGGAGTTCCCAGCATAAGAAGGACATGGAGCTGTAGGAGAGAGTCCAGAGGAGGCCATGGAGATGCTCCAAACGCTGGAGCAGCTCTGCTCTAGAGACAGGCTGAGAGAGTTGGGGTGTTCAGCCTGGAGAAGAGAAGGCTCCAGGGAGACCTTAGAGCACCTTCCAGTGCCTGAAGGGGCTCCAGGAAAGCTGGGGAGGGGCTTGGGACAAGGGCAGGGAGGGATGGGATGAGGAGGAATGGATTAAAACTAGAAGAGGGAGATTTAGGTTGGACATGAGGAGGAAATTCTTTGCTGTGAGGGTGGTGAGACACTGTCCCAGGTTGTCCAGGGAAGCTGTGGCTGCCCCATCCCTGGCAGTGTTGAAGGGCAGGTTGGATGGGGCTTGGAGCAGCCTGGGCTGGTGGGAGGTCTCCCTGCCCATGCAAGGGGGTTTAGATCTAGATGATCTTTAAGGTCCCTTCCAACCCAAACCAGTCTGGGATTCCGTGATTCAAACTTGTGAACAGAGCTGACTGTTTTCCCCACACTAAGCAGCGCATGAGGCTAATGAATGGTGTGAAAGAGATGAAGTGTCCAAGCCACTTGTTTTCTGCTGTGGAAGGCAGCTCCATGCTGACCTTGTGTTTAGGCTTGGATGAAAGTGACTCCTGCATATGTTCTTTATTTAAATAGCAGCATGTTTGGCCCAATGGGAACTTCTAGTGTTTTCCTGGTTACATACAGAGTTTCTGGACACAACCTGGGGGATTGTTTGGGGCCAAAAACATCTTCCTCCACTAGGGTGAGAATGTGAATATAATAGCATCAAGAAATGGTTTGGGTTGGAAGGGACCTTAAAGATCATCTAGATCCAACCCCCTGCATGGGCAGGGACACCTCCCACCAGCCCAGGTTGCTCCAAGCCCCATCCAACCTGCCCTTCAACACTGCCAGGGATGGGGCAGCCACAGCTTCCCTGGGCAACCTGGGCCAGGCTCTCACCACCCTCACAGCAAAGAATTTCTTCTTCACGTGCAACCTAAGTCTCTCCTCTTCCAGTTTTCATCCATCCCCCTCATCCCATTCCTCCCTGCCCTTGTCCCAAGTCCCTCCCCAGCTTTCCTGGAGCCCCTTCAGGCACTGGAAGGTGCTCTAAGGTCTCCCTGGAGCCTTCTCTTCTCCAGGCTGAACCCCCCACCTCCCCCTGCCTGTCTCCAGAGCAGAGCTGCTCCAGCCCTTGGATCATCTCTGTGGCCTCTGGACTCTCTCCAACAGCTCCATGTCCTTCTTGTGTTGAATACCTGTTTTCTTTCTCTCCCACTCAGGCATCTGTGGTTCATGTGCAATGAACATTGCTGGTGGAAACACGCTGGCCTGTATCAAAAAAATTGACTCTGATCTCAACAAGATCACTAAAATCTATCCTCTCCCCCACATGTATGTGGTGAAGGACCTTGTTCCAGTGAGTATCTGCTTCTGTTAGCTTATGACCAAGGGCAACACTGTGCCAGACAGTGTGGGGTTCAGACTGGCTTGGAAAGGACAATGTTGGGAGGTGTCAAGAAGATCAGGTCTCACAACTGAGTGTGAGGGTGGTGAGAGCCTGGCCCAGGTTGCCCAGGGAAGCTGTGGCTGCCCCATCCCTGGCAGTGTTGAGGGGCAGGTTGGATGGGGCTTGGAGCAACCTGGGCTGGTGGGAGGTGTCCCTGCCCATGCAGGGGGGTTGGAACTGGATGATCTTTAAGCCCTCTCCAAACTCAAACCAGTCTGGGATTCTATTAATTCTTATGTCACTGGTGTTTTCTGGCTTGTGTGGGTCTGAGCTTCACAGCAGCGACTAAATCTGCCCTTATTTGGAGGGTTGTGGCAAGTTGAGGTAGAAAATGTCCCATTCTGTTGGAGTGGCAGCAGATGTTCAATCCCATGCATCAATTTAGTTTAATAAATGTCACCTCTTTGCCTTTTGACTCCCAGGACATGAGTAACTTCTACGCACAGTACAAGTCCATCGAGCCTTACCTGAAGAAGAAGGACGAGTCCAAGCAGGGCAAGGAGCAGTACCTGCAGTCGATAGAAGACCGTCAGAAACTGGTTTGTGCTTCTCTTCTACTCTCCAAACCCCTTCCAGATAAGACCAGGGTTAAACATTGACATGCAGGAGCTTCTAGTTCCTTTAATGTTCCTTTAATGAGCTGTCCACCTGACATGGGTGGAATGTGCTCTCTGAAATGAAGTGTCATAGCATGTCTGCATTCCTGGGGGTTTTTTTCGCTGCTCCATCCCTGGCAGTGTTGAGGGGCAGGTTGGATGGGGCTTGGAGCAACCTGGGCTGGTGGGAGGTGTCCCTGCCCATGCAGGGGGGTTGGAACTGGATGATCTTTAAGCCCTCTCCAAACTCAAACCAGTCTGGGATTCTATTAATTCTTATGTCACTGGTGTTTTCTGGCTTGTGTGGGTCTGAGCTTCACAGCAGCGACTAAATCTGCCCTTATTTGGAGGGTTGTGGCAAGTTGAGGTAGAAAATGTCCCATTCTGTTGGAGTGGCAGCAGATGTTCAATCCCATGCATCAATTTAGTTTAATAAATGTCACCTCTTTGCCTTTTGACTCCCAGGACATGAGTAACTTCTACGCACAGTACAAGTCCATCGAGCCTTACCTGAAGAAGAAGGACGAGTCCAAGCAGGGCAAGGAGCAGTACCTGCAGTCGATAGAAGACCGTCAGAAACTGGTTTGTGCTTCTCTTCTACTCTCCAAACCCCTTCCAGATAAGACCAGGGTTAAACATTGACATGCAGGAGCTTCTAGTTCCTTTAATGTTCCTTTAATGAGCTGTCCACCTGACATGGGTGGAATGTGCTCTCTGAAATGAAGTGTCATAGCATGTCTGCATTCCTGGGGGTGACGTTTGCTAATGACTTGTAGTCTTGTTGGGGACTCTGATCTCATTTCACTGTCAGCCCTGCCAAGCTGCCTGTGGCTGTGAACACACTGTGAAGGCTTCAGGTCTGGAATACCCCTGGGGAGATAAGCACTGCAGTTTGTGCTGGCATGTGGGCTGGCTTGTCTTGCTGCAGCGTGATGAGCAACATTTCTTTGCTGCTGGCTGGACTTTCCAACCCTGAACAGCAAAAACTAAACCCTTTTGGATGTGGAGATAAAAGTGTGATGTGTTAGTGCAAGTCTTTGGATGTCTGTCTTGAGGTTTGATGGATTAGAGCTGGAGGAGGGGAGATTTAGGTTGGACATTAGGAAGAGTTTCCATACTGTTAGGGTGGTGAGAGCCTGGCCCAGGTTGTCCAGGGAAGCTGTGGCTGCCCCATCCCTGGCAGTGTTGAAGGGCAGGTTGGATGGGGCTTGGAGCAACCTGGGCTGGTGGGAGGTGTCCCTGCCCATGCAGGGGGGTTGGATCTAGATGATCTTTAAGGTCCCTTCCAACCCAAACCATTCTGTGACTTTCTGGGAACAATGGTAGTTCAAAGGTTCATAAAGCTGAGGGCTGTCTGAGGAACCCTTGGAGATAGTAGCTTTTTAAAAAAGTTTGCTGTGCAGGTAAGTTCTTGCCTGGATTTCCAGGGCTGCCACAGTCTCATTAAATGAGCAGTTTCTCTTTTGTCTCTGACCTGTCCTGGTGGATCCATTTCTCACTTGATGGTTCAGAGCTTGGCCCAGCAATGCTCCTCAGTGGTCCTTGCTGGGGCACCGTCACTGGGGACGGGCTGAGTGGGCAGCTTGGGTTTTGGCAGTGGTAAAAGATTTTGGCATATGCACAGCAGAGGAAGGCTGTTCAGAGGGGATACAATTCAAACATGAGCTGCAGCCCAATTCTCTGCAGTGATCTTTGGGAGCTTTCCATTATTTGTGTTAACATCAGATGATTAGACCTGAGATATCAGCAGACACTGTGATGTCTTAACAGCCACAGGATTTTGCAGTCCCAAAGAATCTCTGTCCAAGGACAAGGGTTAGTTCTGCACCACTTCCTAACCTTATGTGATCCACATTAAGGACTGAGGGATTCTCCCTTCACGTGGTTTTCCTGAAGTGGCTTCCTTGAAATCACTTTCTCATTCAAGTAGGAATAAGTGAAACTAAAAGTAGCTGCAAGAGCTGCCTGGATCACTCTCACAACTGGTGAGCTTGCTTGTCCACTCACTGGTGAAGTTTCTCCTGCTTTGAGAACAGCTTTTGTGCAGGAGAAACTTGGATACAGTGTCAGCTGGAAAACTCCCACCTTTCTCTACGAATCATCAATTATTTGAAATATTACAATTAGAAATCAGACTAATATAAAGCAAAAAGGTAACTGGGACTAAAGTAGCTTTGGAAAGTCTTTCCAAAAGTGGAGCAGCTCTTCCAACACAGTGCAGGAGAATCCAGCTCCCAAGATTTTTTGGCATCAGGTATCTTTCTAAACTGATTTTAATCAGACCCTTGTCCCAAAAAGCAACTTTCAGACTCAATCTCATAGCCTGGGAGAGCTAAGAGACTTGGAGACCTCTGCTCCTTAGTTTTGTCTCCTGCCCAGTGTCACTTCCATGGAGGTCTGACTTTCTTCAGTGTCCAAAATAACAAGGCATTCACTTCTGTCAAGTTGGCTGAAGACTCACACCATTCTTTAAGGGCTTGGGGAAGCACAAGTTAAGCTGGGAGCTCTTCTCCCCAGGGCTGTTGGGCAGACTTTGTTCTTCCTCCTCTTCTGTAACATGCCCTTGAACTGTTAATTGGTTACATATCTGCTCCTTTCCTCAGCCACTTCCCGGGACAGGCTGGAAAGAAAGAAAGAAAGAATGCAGGAACATCAATCAATCTTCTCATGTTTCTTCAGTTTCATGCTGGTTTGCCCCTTTCTTTCCCAAAACCCACCCTATTCTAGTGGTCAAGTTGTGAGGATTGCATGTGTCCTGTCTCCAGAGGACATGCATGTAGGAATTCCTTGCTTCTGGCACTGCTGCTTCAGCATTTTCTGAGCTGCTCTGTTGTGGGAAGTCAGTAAGAGGGGGAGGTGCGACCTTATGTAAATCCCCTGGTTTTAAACAAAAATAAGCTTCCTCATGAGTTCCTGGAGTGGCCTGACTCTGGTCTCCCACCCCCTGCAGGACGGGCTCTACGAGTGCATCCTGTGTGCCTGCTGCAGCACCAGCTGCCCCAGCTACTGGTGGAACGCGGACAAGTACTTGGGGCCAGCAGTTCTGATGCAGGTAAGGACAAGCTCCCCTTGGTCACCCTCTCTAAAACCAGCTCAAATCTTGGTGTGTGCTAGGAGGGGATAATAGGACACAGTCCAGATCCTGGACCAAAAATTCCTGAGTGGGAATTTGGAAGTTTCACCCCTGAAAGAAGCTTCTTGTTGTGGGAACTGCCCGTGACTTGCAGGCCTATCGCTGGATGATCGACTCCCGCGACGACTACACGGAGGAGCGCCTGGCCCAGCTGCAGGACCCCTTCTCCCTCTACCGTTGTCACACCATCATGAACTGCACAAGGACTTGCCCTAAGGTAGGTGTCCATCCTGCCTGTGGTCCCTCTGAGGCCACTGGTGTGTTTCCAGAGAGTTGGGGTGTTCAGCCTGGAGAAGAGAAGGTTCCAGGGAGACCTGAGAGCAGCTTCCAGTGCCTGAAGGGGCTCCAGGAAAGCTGGGGAGGGACTTTTCATCAGAGAGGGCAGTGATGGGACAAGGGGTGATGGTTTTAAATTGAAAGAGGGGAGATTTATAAGAAAATACTTCTTTACTGTGAGGGTAACAGAACACTGGAACAAGCTGCCCAGGGAGGAGTCTCCATCCCTGGAGACATTCCAAACCCACCTGGATGTGTTCCTGTGGGATCTTCTTTGGGGGATCCTGCTCTAGCAGGGGGTTGGACTACAGATGATCTCCAGAGGTCCCTTCCAATCCATAACATCCTGTGTGATTCTGTAATTCAGGTTGAACATTAGGAGGAAATTCTTTGCTGTGAGGGTGGTAAGACCCTGGCCCAGGTTGCCCAGGGAAGCTGTGGTTGTCCCATCCCTGGCAGTGTTGAAGGGCAGGTTGGATGGGGCTTGTGGGAGGTGTGCCTGCCCATGCAGGGGGTTGGATCTAGATCATCTTTAGGTCCCTTCCAACCCAAACCATTCCATGATTCTGTGATCCCTGATGCATTATACAACTTGTGAAAAGGAGAAGACTCCAGCCAGTTTCCAGCACCTTTGGGGGATGTGTTTTCTGCTGGCATCCTGCCCTCCTGGCATTGCCCAGATGCTTTGTTCTCTCTGGTGTTTCTGCAGAGAATTGCACAAGCTTTCCCTCTTCCTCACCTTGCAATGACCTTGTTGCCTCTTGTTGGGCAGATGACCAAGTTTTGCTTCCCTGCCAATTGTGCTGTTTTCCAGCCAACCTTCTTTTGCACCTGATGGTGGAGTAATTCTTGAGCTGTGAAATAACATGAAGGTGAATGTTGGAATGGATCTCAGATGTGGGGGAGATGAGATTCTGGAGCTGACAGGTGTAGGGCAGGAGCTCTGCATGCTGATCATGGTGTGTGTTTTTCTGAAGTGATTCACTGGTTGCAGATAGTTCCCCCTTTGTGTAGGGAGCCAGCTCCTGAGCTGGTGCCAACCAAAGTTCAGCTGAAGGTAAAGGTTCAACCTGAAGATCTGGCTTATTGTGGGGATGCACGTAGCACAGGGAGGTAGTGCCTGGTCTCAAGTTTGAGACACTTTTAATGATTAATAACACATTTCCACTCTACACGCTCTAATCCTGTCTCAGTCAGCCCTCGGGGAGCTCTGCACTTGGGTCACTTCCCACTCTGTGTCCCATGGTGCTGCAGCTGGAATCAGGATTCAGGAGAGCAGTTGGGATCCCCCTCTCCTCTGGAGATTAGCCATGCTTGATTTGATGGCAGTGCTGCACAGTTAAGGGCCTTTGCAACACAATATGCCTCTGTATTGTAGAAAAACAGCCCTTGGACAGCTTAGCTGGCTTTTGTGTGAGGAGATTTTCATCTTGTGACTTGTTCTTGCTCACTTCCCCCATGTCCTCCAGCACAACTTTTTTATTTCAAACAAGGCAAAAAGCCACATCTCTCGTACCACCACTGATGAGCTCTTATGAGGCAGTTTCATGCTCCAGAAGTCATAGTATCATAGAATGACAGACTGGTTTGGGTTGGAAGGGACCTTAAAGACCATCCAGTTCCAACCCCCCTGCATGAGCAGGGACACCTCCCACCAGCCCAGACTGCTCCAAGCCCCATCCAACCTGCCCTTCAACACTGCCAGGGATGGGGCAGCCACAGCTTCCCTGGGAAACCTGGGCCAGGCTCTCACCACCCTCACAGCAAAGAATTTCCTCCTCGTGTCCAACCTCAATCTCCCTTCTCCCAGTTTCAGTCCATTCCCCCTTGTCCTCTCACTCCCTTCCCTTGTCCCAAGTCCCTCCCCAGCTTTCCTGGAGTCCCTTGAGATACTGAGAAACACTTATTTTTCAAAACTAATTCCATAATCTTGTAACACCCATAAAACTGTTTGCGCTTTATTAAAAGTTCTTTCATTCAGCCACTCATTCTTCTCTTTGATCCTCTCTTTGCTGATTAAAAACAGTCTTCCAAAGTCAAATGAGCACTTTTCTTCAAGCATTGGAAGTGCTGCAGGTTCAGCCTCCAGGTAGAGGAGCTGAGCTCCCAGCACTGCGTCCTGACTCCAGGCTGGCTTCTTTTCCCTTCTCAGTAGAGGCTGGGGGGCACCATATCTGCCTCAAGCACACCTTAACCAAGGGGCTCTGCATGCCAGAACACCCAGCCTGCCTGGAGCAGCTTCTGGAGCTCCCTCATTATCCTTTCACCTCCCAGAAGCGCCACATGACCAAACTGTGTGAGCTGGAACCCAGAAACCACCCGTGTCCTGGGCTATATCAAAAGCAGTGTGGACATCAGGGCCAGGGAGGGGATTGTTCCCCTTTACTCAGCTCACATGAGACCCCAGCTGGAGAACTGTGTCCAGTTCTGGAGCCCCCAACATAAGAAGGACATGGAGAGAGGAAATTCTTCCCTGTGAGTGTGGTGAGACCCTGTCCCAGGTTGCCCAGGGAAGCTGTGGCTGCCCCATCCCTGGCAGTGTTGAAGGGCAGGTTGGATGGGGCTTGGAGCAACCTGGGCTGGTGGGAGGTGTCCCTGCCCATGCAGAGGAGTTGGATCTAGATGATCTTTAAGGTCCCTTCCAACCCAAACTATTCTATGATTGTATGATATGACCCTATGAAAAGGAAGCACAATGTCAGGCTGGACTCCAGCATTTAGGAAAAGCAGGGGTGCTGAGCTGCTCCTCTGCCTCTTTTTATGGGTAGCAGCATCTTTGTGAATTGACTCCAGTTTGGATCAGGGCAAGGAGAAAATGCTCTAACACTCATTTCCAGGGGATCTAACGGAAACTTTTCCTTTTGTAGGGTTTGAACCCTGGGAAAGCAATTGCTGAGATCAAGAAGATGATGGCAACTTACAAAGAGAAGGCAGCTGCTGCTTAATGCTGTTCCTGACTGGAATTGTCCCCCACAAACCTGCTTCACCAAGCAGGAATTTATACCTGATGGAGCAAGAGAAGGTTCCAGCAGGAAGTCTGGTGGCTTTCCCCTAGGTTTGCATGTACAATAAATACTGTAAGGAACAAATAAGAGGGTTTTTTATTTCATTAACAATATTGAGCTGGTGTTTCTGCCTCTATCATAGAATCCCAAATCTCTCTGGTTTGCAGTTCTGAGCAGCTGGGATCACCCTCTGCTGTGGGGTGAGGATTTGGAAGTGGCAGAGGTGGAATTGCTGAGTGACTTTGATCCTATGTCTTTAAAGCATGTGGGAAGAGACCTGCAAGTGATAAAAACTGGTGATGAGCAGGAAGAACTTGGTGGAACTGGTTGGGAAAGGAGAGTGCTGGAAGAATCTCATCTTGCTCTGAAATCCCTCGGGATTCTGGTGAGGAGCAAAGGGAGGACTTGAGAGATGGATTAGTGGATGGACTTGATCTTAGAGGTGTTTTCCAACCAAAACTCTTCTGTGATGTGGAGCTTGGAGGGTGCAGGTGGCAAAATTTTGGTGGCAGTGAGTGCTTTTTATTCCAAGTCCTGAAGTAGATGAGATTTTCTAGGACAGGGTTGAAGTTTTCTCTAGTGCAGGTGGGTTTTAACTCCCAGTTTCTCAAACTTGGGATGTTTCTGGGGGGTTGTTGCCTCAAGCAGCTGTTGGCAGTTTTAAGGAAGTGGAGAGAAAGGACAGGCTTTCTCTTTTGCTGTTTAATAAATGTTTGTGTCTAGGTGAAGTCCCAACTTCTAGAAATGCCATGAGGCTTCTTCTGAGACAATGTGTGGTAACCAGCGTGGTGCCAGGGGGCAGCACACCAGGGTGAAAGTGGATTAAAGATGGCGTGAAGATATACAGCTCCAGCAAAGCTCACCCCAAAAATGACCCGGATTTTTCTCCATGCATTTCTCTATCCTGCAGTGAGAGAACCTCGTGGGTGCCTCAGGAGGCTCAGCTGATGTGGCTCCATTGATGTTTTTTCATTTGCAGAAATTCTTTCTTTTCCTGGAGTGAAGGTTTTCATTGCTGAGAACTGATGAGAGATGGGGAATGGTTTTAAGCTGGAAGAGGGGAGATTTAGGTTGGACGTGAGGGGGAAATTCTTCATTATCATTATCAAGCATCTAGATCCTTCACTGAGAACAGCCCTAAGTCTCCTGGAGTCACCTCCCAGCAGGCAGGTGACAACCAAGTAGCTTTGGGGCTGGAAAACCACTGTCCTGTGGCAGTGTCACAGATAATGGTTTAAAACTGGAAGAGGGGAGGTTGAGGTTGAACATGAGGAGGAAATTCTTTGCTGTGAGGGTGGTGAGAGCCTGGCCCAGGCTGCCCAGGGAAGCTGTGGCTGCCCCATCCCTGGCAGTGTTGAAGGGCAGGTTGGATGGGGCTTGGAGCAACCTGGGCTGGTGGGAGGTGTCCCTGCCCATGCAGGAGGGTTGGATCTAGATGGTCCCTTCCAAACCATTCCATGACTTTATACTTCAAATCCACATGTCTTTGGTTGCTCTTCCATGTCACAGTGAGTTGTCCCCCTTCCCTGTGCCTCCAGGGGGCTGTGGTTAAGGATGAGTGAGCACAAGGCCTGTGCTGGGGAAGCTCCCAGTGCTGGTGTCAGACAGAGGGGACACAGTGTCAGTCCCACCACACTGATATTTCTGGATCTCTTCTACCCCTGTGCTCCATAATCTTTTCTCCCTGCTTGAGCCCAAAGGGTTTGAAGGAAAAGCTTTTGTGATCCCCCTCTTCCCCTCCCACTGTGATTTCCTTTTTAGTCAACATGGGTTGTTTGAACACAAACTTTGGGGTTTGCCTGTTTTTATTTAAAAACCAGGCACAGCCAGACAAAATACTGGGTTTATCTCCCTTCCCAGGAAAAAAAAAAACCCAGAGCTTCCTTGAGCAAAGGATGGGTAAGAGTTGGTTTTGGGTCGTAGCTGAGCCTGGTGAGCAGGATCAGCCCCTCTGGTTGGTCCTGGCAGGGGCTGGTTGGGGGGCAGAGCCTGGTCTTTTTCCTTGCAAGGTATTGGAGTGTAAAGCCCTTTGTTGGAGGGCAGCACACAGTGAATTTCCTTGCCAGGTGTGGGGGTGCAAAGCCCTTTTTGGGGGGCAGAACCTAGTCCCTTCTCTTGCAGGATAAGGGGGGGTACAAAACACTTTTGGGGGGGCCCCACCCAGTCCCTTTCCTTGAAGATACTGGGGTGCAAAACCCTCTTTTTGGCGGGCAGTGCCTGGTGCATGTCCTTGCAAAATAAGGGGGTGCAAACCCCTTTTTGGGGAGGGCAGAACATATTCCCTTACCTTGCAAGATAAAGGGGGTGCAAAGCCCTTTTTTTTTTTAGGGGGGGAGGCAGAACCTAGACCCTTTCCTTGCAAAATAAGGGGGTGCAAAGCCCTTTTTTGGGGGTGCAAAGCCCTTTTTTTTGGGGGGGGGGCAACACCCTGCACTTCTATGGCTGCAGAGCC